GTTCCTTTATCTCTTATATTTCCTGTAACTGGGAAGAGAAGTGAATGTAAAGGCTTGACTGGGCTCAGGTTAAACGTTTTGACAAGAATATCTCATGAGTGGTGTAGTGTACATAGGGGAAAGGAATTCGATTTAGTTTCCATGTTTAGGCTGATTATCTGGAACTTAACTGGTGGACATTACAGAGAAGAAAAAGCTGGCCCCGGCCAGCTTGGCTCAACGGTTAGTGTCAGCCCACAAACTGAGAGGTGTTGGGTTCAATTTCGGTTAAGGGCATGTACCTGGGTTGCAGGTTCAATCCCTGTCCCTAGTCGGGATTGGGCAGGAGGCATCTGATCAATGTGTCTCTGAGCTCAATGGTTCTTTCTCTCTCTCTCTCTCTCTCTCTCTCTCTCTCTCTCTCTCTCTCTCTCCCCCCCTCCCTCCCTCCCTCCCTTCCTCCCACTCTATCTAAAATAAAAGGGAAAAGAAAAGCTATGTATAGCGATCAGAGCTGCTGAATGTAGCATGGGCTGCTTAGGTGATGGGGAGCTACTCATAGCTGGGGGTGTTCAACAGGCACTGGAGGACCATCAAGTAAACTCGTGAGGAGTCTCTTGCATTGGTTAGAGCACCACATTCCCCTCATCCACTCCAGCTGCATACTTTAAGGAGTGTTTCTGGTTGTCACAATGGCTGCAAATGTTTAAACGGACAGTGGACATGCATGGCCCACAACATGTGGGACAGTCCCATAAAAAGAACTGAGAATGGCTTCCAACTTCTTTCACTAATGAAAGTATTTTTCAAACAATAGCTGCATAGGCCCAGAATACGGAATAGAATCACAGTGCTTAAAGCCAGAGTGGCTCCCACCACAGCCCCTCTCCAGAATCCTCAGGCACCAAAGAACATGTGTGAAAATCACTGAGTTCAGTGGCCTGAGATTCAGACTCTTCTAAAAATTTCAGCCTCCATCACAGGAACAGGACATCCATTCTAATCCTCATAGCTGCCATCACTCAGGCTCGGGTATCTGCAGAAAAACACTGACCCTCTCAGGCTCAGGTGACGGGACAGCAGTGACCACCTGCTCTTACAAGAACTGCAGAAAGTATTGTCCAGCTAGTGCCTGGCTTATGGCAGGAGCTCCATGTTCGTTAAAGCAAAATCCAAATTTCATTTATTCTCTTGTATTAGAAATACATTCACATGGTAGGAAATTCAAAAGGTGCAAATGATTATACTGCAGCTGTCCCTGCACTAGATTCTCTCCCAGCTCCCCAAACACAAGGGTTTTTAATGGGCACATACTCCTGTTCCTTACTTCTTTCCACCTCGTAATCTCAGAGACCACTTCATTCCAGTACATGAAAAGGTTTCTCTCTTTTTTTTTTTTTTACTTTATTTTTATTGTTGACACTATTACAGATGTCCCCATTTCCTCCCCTTAGCTGACCTCCACCCAGCCCACTTACTCCTTCTGTAATCTCTTTTTAAAGTGCACTACAGATACCATTAAAATGCACATAAGGGAAACAATGAATTCTCACAAAGTGAATGCACCCATGTGACCAGCACCCAGATGAAGACAACGGAGAGAATCCAGTCCCCCAACGCCAGCATCATGCTATCCCAAAAGTAACCACTATCCTGACTTCTAACACTGAAGTTTAGTTTTGCCTGCTTTTGTATTTTTATTATATAAATAGATTCAGAGTATGTTCTCTTTTGTGTTTGGCTTCTTTTACTCAATACTCTCTGTGAAATTCATCCACGTTATGTATAGATGCAGCGGATTCATTCTCACATCTGTGAGCTACTCCAGTAAAAGAATACATGACAATTTATGTATCCATTGTACTGCTGATGGGAGTCTAGATGGGTTCTGATACTTAATTATAACTAACATGTTCTGTGAACATTCTAGTACATGTCTTTTGATGAACAAATTCTGTTAGATATTTCTAATAGGTACCTACAAGTAGATGCCTAATTCAATTTTAGGGTCGCACAGTAAACTGCTGTGTGGATGAACCATAATTTATATTTAAATTACTTCCAACTTTTTGCTGAAATGATCTTGTACACATTATCATTCTCATGAGTACGAATATACTGAAAGTGGAATTGTGTTTTAGGGTTCTGTATAAGATTTGTTCCATTACTAAAAATTTAAAACTACTCTTTAAACTAACCCTTTCTCCCAGTGTTTCTCAATACGGGCACTCTTAGCATTTTAGGCCATCTTTCCATCTTTCCTTCTTTCTCTCTCTCTCTCTCTCTCTCTCTCTCTCTCTCTCTCTCTCTCTCTCTCTCTTTATTTTGGTGGTATGTGCCCCTAGCGGGAACCGAAACCGGGACTCTCTGGTCCGCAGGTCAATGCTCAACCGCTGAGCCAAAATGGCCAGGGCCATTTTAGGCAATCTTTACTGTGTGAATTGGTCCAAAGAATTAGATTCATTAAATGTCAATTGCACTCCCTAATCATTGAGAGAATTAAAAAAAAAGTCCCTACACATTTCCCATTGGGAAGAGCAGTACTACCTATTGGGGACTACTGTTATAACCAATTTAAGAATCGCCTCAACAGACCTTGAGTCATATTACACCTCTGTTGAAATTATCTCCAGTGAGGGAGATCTCATTGCCTCACAAGGCAGCCCCTCCAATTTTAGGCAGCTTTGATCACCATGTTTATGGAACTTTGCAGTGTTGGCTTCAATCCTCTGGATCCTGGTTGGGAGGTGAGCTGTGTGCTGGAGACCAATGGAAGGAAAAGGGGCCTATGCTCTAGGAGTATGACCCAAGAGACTGGCCTCGGGTGCTAGCGGGTAGAAACGGGAAATGAACCAGGAGGGAGGGAATGATCCATGGATGATCTGGGCTGAGACACCTATGCCATAGGTCTTCCTCAAAGTCTTACCTCCTTTTACTTCATTAATGATAAATTACCCCCTTCTTCTCATGTAGAGCTCTGAGGGAAATGACACAGGAAACCTTCACAACATGGTTCCTGTCCTCCAGGATCTCACCTGGAGGTGACTTTGGCCAGGAACTCTTTGAAATAAAAAAATATAAGACCAGCTCTAGCCAGTTTGGTTCAGCAGTTAGAGCACCGGCCCGCGGTTCAGAGACCCGGGTTCAGTTCCTGCTAAGGGCATGTACCTCGGTTGCAGTTTGTCCCCAGCCCTGGTTGGGTTGTGCAGGTGGCAGCCACTCGATGTGTCCCTTTCACGTCGATGTTTCTCTCTCTCTCTCTCCCCCCCTCCCACTCTACCTGAACAAAAAATGGAAAAATGTCCTCAGGTGAGGATAAAAAAATACACACACACACACACACTTTAGCCCAGCTGGTGTGGCATTGACCCATGCATCAAAAGGTCGCTGGTATGATTCCTGGTCAGGACACATACCCAGGTTGTGGGCCCAGTCCCCAGTCAGGGCATGCAGGAGGCGGCCAGTCGGTATTCTCTCTCATGGATGTTTCTATCTATCTCCCCCTCTCCCTTCCTCTCTCTCTGAAAAGCAATAAAGAAAAAAAAATAAGACCATTCAATAATAAATATTAAGGTTATCATTTAGTCAAATGCATTTAAGTACAGTTTAAAAGTAAAGGAGTTATTAGAAAGAGATATGGAGGGGGAGGTCCAAATTTAAACTGTGCAAGGAGAGAAGAAACCATTGATTCTTCTCTGGGCCATGTGCTAAATTCAAAGCTGTGTGACTTTGAGCAGGTCTTTCCTTGGGCATTTCACAGCTATAACTTACATAAGAGATTTGGAAATGATATATGCAAAACATCCATAATTCTGCCAGACATATAGTATGTAGGTGCTCAATATAGATTATTGTGGACCAGGAATTTTACAAAATTTTTCTCATTTATTCTTTATAATACTGAGGAGGTAGGTGATATAGATGATAAAATTGAGACATTAAAGACATAACTTTCTTGAGGTCACACAGCTAGTTAAGAAGCAGAACCCAGGTTACTTTGGGTCTATCTAATAGTAAAGTGGTCTTATTACTTGGAAAGAAAAACAGACAAATGAGTTCATAGCTGTTCTGTCAATCCCAGTACTGGAATAAAATAGCTGAAAAATGTTTAAATTTAAAAGTATTTTTATACTTTTATACCTACTTAGCATACATTTTTTATATTTACTGGGTATATGCAAGAATTCTGAGGTTCTTTCAAATTGTGCCCATTTTCAAGTATCCAATATTACCACAATCTCAATTACAAACCTGAGCATTAACCAGTGTAATTCTCATTGCTATCCACTATTTGTTATTGCTAGATGGAATTCACGTCAGGATTGAATTATTTTCCAGAGCAGCGACTTCAGCAAAAGCGAGATGGACAGATTCTTTTGTTAATTCAATGGCAACCTACACTCTAATCTCATTCCCCACCCCTACCTCGACCCCAAAACCCACGCCTCAAGTAGATCCTGTAAGGCGATTCAGATCTGCATTCCCATCGCCTCACAAGCTCGGATCCTGACCCCAGTCTCACGCCTTCAAGGCCCTTCGCCCCTGTGCATTCTCAGCGAGTGCCCAGCTCTGGGGTCTCCAACCTGGAGGAAGTGACCCTTTGGTGTTAGCCCGGAGCCCTTGGCCGGGAAGAGGGTGTCGTGGTGGGGCCAACCTGAGCAGGATTCCGGGTTCCCCCCAGTTCTGGAGTACGAAAAGCAGAAAGCACTGAGGGCCTGGCACCGGGTCCAAGGCCAGCCGGGAGGGTGGCCATCAAAAGGCGCACGGACCGAGCCACCGGAGGTTCCCAAGGGAGGGCAAGCCTCGCACCACGGGCGGGGCGGGGCGGGGGCAGGAGGCGGCTGCAGGTGAAGCTGCGGAGCTAGCACACAATGGGTCAGGGTGCGAGGCCAGGCACCGGAAAAACACGCCGGAGGAACACGTGCACCGCAGACCGCGCCGGGGCTAAAGCGCCCCGTCGGCCCAATCTGGGCGCGGCGCGGCGTACGTGCGCGCGCGCGCGCGTGCGTGCATGCGATTTGCGATCAGGCGGCGCTTCGGACAGCCCCGGCGGCAGGGCGGGGGGAGTTATATTGCGGGGTCCTTCTTCGCTCACCCTGGTTCCTTTCGGAGCAGAGACGGCAAATGGCGGACTTCGATACCTACGACGATCGGGCCTACAGCAGCTTTGGCGGTGGCAGAGGGTGAGGTGGCCGTGCGCGGACTCCGGCCGGGTGTGAGGGGCGAGCGGAGTCGGGGTCCCTTGGGCAGCGAGTGGTAGGGTCCCGGCTGGGCCGGCGGAGGCCTGGGAGAGACGCCTGGAGGGCTGGGGCCTGGAAATGGCGCGCTCGGGGAGGGGGCGGTTAGGCTCCCGGGGTCTTGCTCGCAGGGCGGATCCCTGGCCCTGCCAACGACGACGTGTCGTCTTCCCCCTTCCTTGGTCGCAAGGCCAAGCTGTAGCGGCACAGAGCGTCCGGAAAGTCGAGCTGCCGCTTCCAACCCCATCCCCCAGTACGGCAGAGCCAGCACGGGGCTCTGCTGCAGCACGGGATCCGGGCCGCGACCTACCCCGCTCGGGTCCCGGTCCCCGCCTCGGCCCTCCTGTCGTTTGCCTGCGCTGCAGGCGCCCTGACCCCCTTCGCCATGAGGCCAGCCAACTGGGTAAGGTCGGGAGGCCGAGAGGCGGACGAGCCCCTTCCCCTTACTTGTGAGGCAGGATTTGGCTGCTGCAGCCAGGGAATGGTCCGATTCACGTCGGGAGCGGGGAGACCAACCAAAACAAATACATCAGAGCATTTTTATTATTGACAGGTGCTACGTGCTTGCTGGCAGAGAATTTTATTTCTGCATGGTTTCTCGTTCTGACCTAAAGGAGGAATCGTATTTAGCTTCGTTCTGATTCTGGCCATATATAGATCATATATTTTTGAGGCGCCTTGTTTAAAAGAAACATCCTTGACTAGTGAACAAAAAGCTCGTGGCGTTTACTTCCAGGAACCCGCCCTGGCTTTTTTTTTTTTTTTTAAATACAGGTTACCTCATACAGAATTTAAGAAGATAGGCTATAAACATCTTCCTGTTTGTCAAGGACACACTTGGCCTTTGTGTGCTTTTACAGAAAGGATTATTTTCCCAGGATAATAGCACAATAGTACCTACTGAGGTGTCCAGTCTCCTGGGTTTCAATCCCAAAAGGATCTTTGTTTGTGTAGAATGATCTTTTAATGCCTTGGTTTGGGAATGGCTCAAACAGAGGCTTGTTTGGGTTTGGGAGTGTACCCAATATCATTCATTACACTATAACATGGAAGTGGAGCCACCTGTTATTTCAAAGAATATTTTATTTGCTAATAAAAAAGAAGTAGATGTTGGATGACATGTGAAATTGTTGCCTTTAGGGTAGGTATCTAGACATCAGATTTGTACTTGAAATTTAATAACTAGGGTTTTTTTTTTTTTCTACTTTCATTTAGAAATGCCCAGGGAAATGACTCTTTTTTGTTCGTTTATTTTTTAAATATATTGTTAATTGATTTTTAGAAAGAAAGGGAGAGAGGGAAAGAGAGAAACAATGTGAAAGAGAAACATTGATCAGCTGCCTGCCTCATACACCCTAAACCCACAATCTGGGTATGTGCCCTGACAGGGAACTGAACCGGCAAACCTTTCTGTGCTTGGGGGTGATGTTTAACCAACTGAGCCATACCAACCAGGGTGGGGAAACTAGTCTTAAACAGAGTAGTTCAATATGAGGCAGATCCAAGGAGTTTCAATTGGTTGGGGACTACAGTAAGTCATACTGAGGCTGGGGATTTTCTTTTTTTTTTTTTTTAATTATTCCTTTTAACTAATTTGTCATCTTTTTTGGTGACTTGACGTGTTCAAGTTTTAGTGGATGTCAGTTTTGGCATTTGGAATGACTTGAATAACACAAGTGATCAAAAGTAAAATTCTCTTGCCCTGGTCAGTGTGGTCCAGTGGTTAGAGCATCAGGCTGCGGAACAAAGGGTTGCAGGTTTGCTCTCCAGCCCTGGTTGGTGTGTGCATGTGGGAGGCAACCGATTGATGTGTCTCTTTCACACTGATGTTTTTCTTTCTCCCTCTTTCTCTTTGCCCCCAAAATCAATGGAAAAAATATCCTTGGGCCCTGGCCAGTTTGGCTCAGTGGTAGTGCGTTGACTTGTGGACCAATGAGTCTCAGGTTTGATTCCGGCCAAGGGCACATATCTCTGTTGAGGTTCGTCCCCAGCCCTGGTTGGGGTCGTGTAGGTGGCAACCAGTCGATGTGTCTCTCACACTGATGTTTCTCTCTCTCTCTTCTCCCTCTCTCCCTCCCACTCTATCTGAAGATCAATGCAAAAATGTCCTCAGGTGAGGATAAAAAAAAAAACAAAAAAAAACACCAAAACTTATGGAGACTGTGTAATTATAAAAGCCAAGTTTTTAGATTGTGACTGTACATTTCAAACTTGCATTCTTTTTACCTGTGACCCAAGTGGTTTAGAATTGAGGTATCATATCTAGCTAAGGTATTTTAGACTAGAGGGAAGGTGCCTTACAAAAGTACCAAACAAAGCAATATAAGACTGGCTTTCCATAGGTGGTATAATCTTCCATAATTCGTCAGCATTGTATCTGAACATAAGCAACAGCACCGAAACATTTGTTGGTGTGAACATACTCCAAATAATTAAAATTATTGTTAAAGATTATCTGGTCAACTATCCTACCATCTTGCTAAATTTCAAGAGATCCCAATAACAGGTAAAATTAAATTAATATTGGTGAAATTAAAATTACATTGACTCGCCTTGGCCGGTCTGGCTCAGTGGTTGAAGCATCGGCCTGCGGACCAGAGTCCCAGGTTCGGTTCCCGCTAGGAGCACGTACCAGAAAAAAAATTACACTGACTCGTCCTGTCCTGGCCAGTTTGGCTCAGTGGAAGAGCACCAGCCCACGGACCAATGAGTCTCGGGTTCAATTCTGGCCAAGGGCATGTACCTCAGTTGCAGTTCATCCCGGCCCTCTCTTTCCCTCCCACTCTATCCAAAGATAAATGGAAAAATATCCTCGGGTGAGAATTAAAAAAAAAAAAAAAAACACTGACTCTAGAAAAGGAAAGCTTTGGCACAGACTACAACACTACAAGTCTGGTCCTCTGTGAAGTTTCCAGACTCACTCCAGACACTATCTAAATGAAGACACAAATTTACCAACAGGTTTTTAAAAATCTGAGCAATGTTTTCTATGTACTTTTACATGAATATAAAGTCAAATGGAAAATTGCAAGGTTGTATGTAGAAGGTGCTTAATGGTAAAGGGACTTTTTAGTAAGAAGCTTAGCCCTGGCCAGTTTGGTTCAGCGGTTAGAGCATCAGCCTGTGGTCCAGAGAGCCCTGGGTTCGTCCCCAGCCCTGGATGGGTCGTGCGGGTGGCAGCCACTTGATGTGCCCCTTTCACGTCTATATTTCTCTCTCTCTTTCCCTCCCACTCCTATCTGAACAAAATGTGGGAAAATGTCCCCGGGTGAGGATTAAAAAAAAAAAGCTTAGGTAATATAGAATGCTAGCTACTGTTCTTTCATACCAGTTTTTTTTTTTTTTTAAATCCTCACCCGGGGATATTTTTCCATTTTTTGTTCAGATAGAGTGGGAGGGAGAGAGAGGAATGGAGAGAGAGAGAGAAACATCTATGTGAAGGGACACATCAAGTGGCTGCCACCCGCACGACCAACCAGGGCTGGGGACAAACTGCAACCGAAGCACGTGCCCTTAGCGGGAACCGAACCCGGGTCTCTCCGGACCGCAGGCCGACGCTCTAACCGCTGAGCCAAACTGGCCAGGGCTCATACCAGTTTTTGGAGTACATCTGGGCAAATGGCTAACATTTTCATTTGTCTTTTGATATTTAAAAATTAGCATCTTAAGATAATTTTACTTTTTTGTTGTTGTTAATCCTCATCCAAGGATTTGTTTTGTTTTGTTGTTCATCCTCACCTGATGCTATTTTCCTATTTATCTTCAGATAGAGTGGGAGGGAGAAAGAGAGAAACATTGATGTGAAAGGGACACATCGATTGGTTGCCTCCTGCATGACCCCAACCAGGGCTGGGGACGAACCTCAACAGAGATATGTGCCCTTGGCCGGAATCAAACCTGAGACTCATTGGTCCACAAGTCAACGCACTACCACTGAGCCAAACTGGCCAGGGCCCAAGGATATTTTTTCCATTGATTTTGGGGGCAAAGAGAAAGAGGGAGAAAGAAAAACATCAGTGTGAGAGAGACACATCAATTGGTTGCCTCCCACATGCACACACCAACCAGGGCTGGAGAGCAAACCTGCAACCCTTTGTTCCGCAGCCTGATGCTCTAACCACTGAACCACACTGACCAGGGCAAGAGAATTTTACTTTTGATCACTTGTGTTATTCAAGTCATTCCAACTGCCATTCAAGTGATTCCAGTCAGGGCACATGCCCAGATTGCAGGCTCGATTCCTGGTCGGGGGTATGCAGGAAGCAGCAAATCAATGTTTCTCTCTCTCAAAAAAATCAATAAAGCTCTAGCCAGTTTGGTTTATCAGTTAGAGCATCAGCCCGCAGACAGAAGAGTCTCTGGTTCAGGCGTGATCCCCAGTAGGAGGCAGCCAATTGATGTCTCTTTCTCACATAGATGTTTCCCTCTACCTCTCCCTCCCTTCCACTCTTATTTAAAAATTGATGGAAAAATATCTTCAGGTGAGGATTAACAAAACAAAAATCAATAAAAACATTTTTAAAAAAGAAAAGTTGATTTTAAAATTCTGTTTACCTATCAAATGGCAAGTTGTTTGGGTTTATTGTTATCCTTCTCTCCACTCCCCAGTCTCCCAGTGCTTGATTCCATTTCAAATCATCCTCTATGAAGAGTGTTACCACAAATACTTGGTTTTACCAAGAGGTTTCTGAGAGACAGTTCAGGCAACAGCCCTAGACTCAGAATCAAGCAGACCAGAGCTTGAGTGTAAGCTCAGCCATAATCTGGAACAACTTCCTTTACCTCTCTGAGCCTTATTTTCCCCACATGTAAGGTAGAAACTCTTCTATAGGGCTGTTGGGAATATCAAATGAGATATATCTAAAGTGCAGGGCACAGTATCTAGTACATTAAAAAATGTTTAATAATTGGTAGCTCTTGATTTATAATTTTTTAATTCTTAAGATATATCCTTTGTGGTTAATAGAGTGGGGAAAGTTCTGTTGATTTAACTGGAATGAGTTTTTACATTCCACTGGCTGTATGTGTAAATTCAAGTAAGAAATTTGTTCATCTTGGGTACCATAACTATTATAAATGAGTATTAAGGAATTCAGTCTTTTTGTTAATCCTCGGTATTTTTTATTGATTTTCAGATACAGTGAAAGAGGGGGAGGAGAGAGAGAAACATCGATGTGAGAGAGACATCTATTGGTTGCCTCTCACATGACCCCTTCTGGGGCCAGGGATCAAACCTGCAACCCAAGTACGTGCCCTTGACCAGAAATTGAACCCAAGACCCTTTGGTCCTCGAGCCAATGCTCTAACTGCTGAGTAAAACAGTCCAGGGCAGTAATTCATTCTTTGAAATTACTGGTTTGTTACAGAATCTGTGCTTGGAATGTTTAATATAAATGCCTCTGAGATTTCTAAGAACTTTCTTAGTGTATTTTTTACTTTTATATTTCTGTTTGAAATTAATCCTAGTATTCTATAATTCTTATAATTCAGTCTTCCCAGAAGCTTAGAACATCCAAAAAAGAATGTTTTGGGGGTTGTCAGTCCAAGATCAGATTTCATCTTCCAGTTTCCATCTTCCCTTAAGAAACGGAAGGAGCCCTGGCCGGTTTGGCTCAGCGGTTAGAGCGTCGGCCTGCGGTCCGGAGAGACCCGGGTTCGGTTCCCGCTAGGGGCGCGTACCTTGGTTGCAGTTTGTCCCAGCCCTGGTTGGGTTGTGTGGGTGGCAGCCACTCGATGTGTCGCTTTCACGTCGATGTTTCTCTCTCTCTCTCTCCCTCTCACTCTATCTGAACAAAATATCGAAAAATGTCCTCGGGTGAGGATAAAAAAAAACAAAACAAAACAAAAGAAACGGAAGGAGAGTTGGGTCAGAGAGCCTACTCTGCCTCTCAACCTTTTCATTAAAATCGTCTTTTTTTTTTTCTTTTTTTTTAATCCTCACACAAGAACTTATTTCCATGTTTTGTTCAGATAGAGTAGGAAGGGGAGAGAGAGAGAGAGAAACATCGATGTGAAAGGGACACATCAAGTGACTGCCTTCCGCAGGACCCAATCAGGGCCAGGAACAAACTACAACCGAGGTACATGCCCTTAGCGGGAACTGAACCAGGGTCTCTCTGGACCGCAGACCGACACTCTAACCGCTGAGCCAAACCGGCCAGGGCATCAGTTGCGTTTTTAGAGCCTTTTGAATATCTGGCTTTATAGAAGACAGTTGGTTTCTTATTCTTTCTTCTGAGAAAGGTTTTGATTGACATAGGTATATGAACAAAGATATATACATTCTGCAGCCTTAACACAGATAAGAAGTTGGAAAAGGGAGTAGTCCAGCCAGTGTTGCTCAGTGGATTAAGTGTCATCCCATGGACTGAGAGGTCCCTGTTTGATTCCCTGTCGGGACACATGCCCAAGTTATGGGCCATATCCTCAGTGGGGGACAGGCAGGAGGCAGCCATTTGATGTTCTCTCTCATTGATGTTTCTATCTCCTTCCTTCTCTAAAATCAATAAAGAAAAAAATATTTTTAAAAAGGAGTATTTTAATAGCCTTTTCAGGTTATTGTGGGTTTTTAAAAATATGTTTTTATTGATTTTTTTAGAGGAAGGGAGAGAGAAATATCCATGTGAGAGAGAAAAATGGGTCGGCTGCTTTCTGCATACCCCCTACTGGGGATCGAGCCCACAACCTGGGTGTGCGCCCTGACTGGGAATCAAACCAGGACCTCTCGGTCCATGGGACATGGGATGACGCTCAATCCGCTGAGCCACACTGGCCGGACAATTGTGGATATTCTTATTTGCTGCTATACCAAAACCCAACAAGTGTCAGTTTCCATTACTATCTCTATCGGTTTCATCTGGAAAATTTCAGGTATTGAGAGTCTATCAAGCTTATGTTGATGAATACAAGTTTGCTAAAATTCTGTTCTTGCTTGAAAGCCTTTATTTTATCTTTGGCAATAGGTACTCTTACAGTTGTTTTCCTTAAAGTAACAGGCTTACTTCATTTTCAAGAAAATGTCTGCCAAATACCAAAATCTGCATAACCAGTTTTTCAGTTCTTTCAGGTAAAAATTATGTTTTATGAAACGAATAGCTAGTTCAGCTTGTAACTCGCTTATGTGAGTACTTTTTCTGGAGATAACCATTGTGCTTCTACTGTAAGCAGCAGAAGTGCTTTGTCCCCATTTCATAACATGAGATATTAAAAAATGGCTCACAGTTTAATAAATAATTTTTACTGCTTGCCCATTCAATGTGCTCAGTGGTTAAGCATAGACCCATGCACCAAGAGGTCACTGGTTCGATTCCTAGTCAGGGCACATCCCAGGTTGTGGGCCTGATCCCCAGTGGGGAGCATGCAGGAGGCGGCCAGTCGATGCTCTTTCTCATCGATGTTTCTGTCTCTCCCTCTCCCTTCCTCTCTCTCTAAAAATCAATAAATAAAAAATAATAATTTTTGCTGCTTTATTGAAGCTGGCTTTTTTTTTTTTCTTTAAATACTGCAAGTGAAACATGAGTAATAATTCAGTGTGGTACCCCCTTCTTTATTCGTGCTAAGGCCAATTGTAACATCAGTGTAGGTCTCTGAAAAGGGAAAACTTAACAGGGTTACCACAGCTAGTAAGCCTACGGCACTCTTAAGTAGAAGAAAGGTATAGCTCTGGAGATCAGAGCTGGAACCAAAGGAAGTACATTTTTAGTACTCTTCAGAGACTGAAGATAGAAAGAATTGCTACTTGAGGTAATCTTAATGGAGGAACCTCAATTTGGTCTAGATTGGTTTGGAATTTACCAGTTGCTCATTTTACCTAACACTTAAAAATTAATCTGAACATTTTCATACATAAACAGAAGTAGAGACCCTCATGTTGCCCTTACCCAGTTTCTCTTTTGTGTTTGTGGTTTTATGTATAACGTGAAATTTACCACTTAAGTGTACAGTTCAGTGTCATTAATGTTCACAGTGATCACAATGATGTGTAACCATTACCACTCTATTTCCAGAACTTGTGCATCATCCCAAACAGAAACTACCCATTAAGCTAACCTACTCTCCATTTCTCGGATTTAACTTCATAAACATTTTTGCTATTCCTGTTTCATTTTATCTTCTCCATTGTGGGGAAAGGATGGAATATTTTAAAACCAATCCCAGCCATCCTATCATTCTATCTTAAAACCCTTGAAATACTTGAATATGTGTATCTAATTGAGAAATTTTTTAACTAGCAGTTTTTCTGTTACCCAGTTCATGTTCATTGTTTTTTCTGTTGTCTAAAATATCACTTCATATAGTTGGCTCGTTTGAATCTGCACAAATACTTGATTATAGAACACTTAAAACACAAACAAAAACAGAATCTAGTATAATGACCCACTTTATGTATCCATTACCCACTTTTTAAAAAATGGCCACTCTTATTTCATCTATACCTCTTTTCACCCTTCTCCCACATACTTCTGGATTATTTTAAAGCATAACTTAGTGTCATTTCATCTAGAAGTACTTCAGTATGAGTTTCAAAAGTAAACACTTTAAAAAATAAGTCTACAGTTTCACATCTGAAACTGTAATGTAGCAATAGCCCAGTAAATATTTAGATTTCTCTGATTAGTTCATATATTTTGATGTGCAGCTGATTTAAGTCAGGACCAGACAGGGTTTATACGTTGCATTTGGTCATTCTGCCTTCTAAGTATATTAATCGATAGGCTTTTCTCCCTTTTTTGGCTATTTGTGTGTAAAGAGGGGGCATGTATAGCTTTTTTTCCCAGGTACTTGTAATACATGTAATTCTTCTAATTCTGTGTGAGGTAGGTGTAAATTAAGATAAATTTGATGTTGGCATATATCAAATTATTAAGTATTCTTTTCCGTTTTTTTTTAGTCCTCACCCGAGGATATGATTTTTTTTCATTGATTTTCGGGAGAGAGAGAGAGACACGTTGATTGGTTGCCACAAACCCGACCAGAGCAGGGGATTGAACCTGCAACCTGGGTACGTGCCCTTGACTGGGAATCAAACCTGTTATTCTGTGGGCTGATGCTCTAAACACTGAGCCAAACCAGACAGGACTTAAGTATTCTTTTTCATATATATGTGTTTTAATACAACTAACTTAGGGTAGCTGGCTCGATCCCCAGTAGCGAGCATGCAGGAGGCAACTGATTGATGTTTCTATCTCTTGCTCTCTTCCTCTCTAAAACAAAAAAATTAAAACTTCTCTTTAAAGGAAAAAATGAACTATAGGTTTTAAACCGATAAGAGCAGATACTACACTTATTCTTAGTCAAAAGGCTGAGAATCACTTGAACTCCAGATTTTAAATGATGGTCTTTCTGTGACATTTTGTAGTTATCTAAATAATTGAAAATTTTAAAGTAAATTGTCTAGTTGTAAATTATTTGTGCATCATATATAAGCCAACATTGAATGAAAATGTGAAGTTTCATTTAAAATTAATTGGAGCTGGTTTGTGGAATGTCAAATCAAATAATAAGCATTCTAATTTTTTTTAAAAAAAGAACTTTTGGCCTGTAAGGTTCAGAACTAATCTGTAGGAATAGTTTCCACCAGTTTTAAGACAAACTTTTTTTGTGTGGCAGTATTCTCTGAGGACCAATAAATAGATCTGAGTTAAGATTTTATTTCCTCTGTAAAATCTGGGACTTTTGGATTGAGTAACCTTTCACCCACATGAAGTTATTAAATTAATAACCTATTTATTTGCTTTTATTAATGTCTGGGAATCCAACACTTTAGTATGTTATGATAAATGCCTTTTTCCTAGTAAGAAAATGTTCTAAAACACTATGTTAACCAGATGTCCCCCATATGTTCATTATTCATCTACAACAAGGCTTACAAACTGTCTATTGTGTCCTATTGGTCGATGGTGATATTAATTTAGTGGGTCCTGACAAGCATTTTTAAAGATGAAATAAAATAGAGAATAGTGTATATTTTACTGAGTTAGTGCTGTTAGGCAAGTTTTTATTTTTATAGTTAATATGTATGCATGTGTTAAGTCTAAATGTAAAATGTATTTCTTGGTGTTGGTCACAGCCATATTTTTAAAAAATACTTAAGTACCTAACTGGAGATGTCATCTAAATACATGGAACCCTCTGTTGTATTTAATTTTTTTTTTTTTTTTTTTTGCAATGCTGAAGTAGTTGCTTAGTCCTGTAACTTCATTGTTTCCACCCTGGTAAGTATTAGATAATATAATAGTTTGGGAGATAAAGCAGTGTACAAGACAGAATTCCTGTTTTAGAACTACTTTGCATTTCCCTGCTAGGCCTTTTTCTTATCTTACAGATGTGATTGAATTATTAAGATCTCACTCTGGCCGGTTTGGGTTTGGCGTAAGCTCAGTGGTTAGAGCAACAGCCTGCGGACAAAAGGGAGCAAAAGGGTCGAGGGTTTGATTACTGGTCAACGGCACGTACCTGGGTTGCAGGTTTGATCCCCACTCCCCAGGGGAGGCAATCAATCCATGTTTGTCTCTCTCCCTCCCTCCCACTCTATTTAGAAAATCAGTGGGGAAATATCTTTGGGTGAGGCTTTTTTTTTTTTTTTTTTTTAATCCTCATCCGAGGACATTTTTCCATTTTTTGTACAGACAGAGTAGGAGGGGGAGAGAGGGAGAGAGAGAGAGAGAGAGAGGGAAACATCGATGTGAAAGGGACACATCGAGTGGCTGCCACCCGCACGACCAACCAGGGCCGGGGACAAACTGCAACTGAGTGAGGTACATGCCCTTAGCGGGAACCGAACCCGGGTCTCTCCGGACCGCAGGCGGACTCTGTAACCGCTGAGCCAAACCGGCCAGGGCAGGGGTGAGGCTTTTAAAAAAATTAATAAATAATTTTTCACAGCAGAAAAGAGCTCCTTGAAATAGAGCACATGGAATAATTCAGCATAGATTCCCTCAACCCCCCCCCACACCACCCCCGCCGCCAGTGTTTACCAGAAACTTTCAGAGGCTTCCCTGTACATTCTGTAGTAAATGACAGTTATCGAGATAAAGGGATTTAATTTTTTTTTTTTTATCCTCACCCAAGGACACTTTTGCATTTATCTTCCCATAGAATGGGAGGGAGAGAGGGAGGAAGAGAGAGAGACACATCGACTGGTTGCCACCCATATGATCCCAACCCGGGCCCGGGTCAAACTGCAACCGAAGTACGTGCCCTTAGTGGGAACTGAATCCGGGTCTCTCTGGTCCATGGGCTGATACTCTAACCACTGAGCAAAACTGGCCAAGGCAGGGATTTAATTTTGAATGCTGATTGAAGACCTTGGAAAATGCATTATAGAGGAAGATTTACTTGGAAATAAAGTGCCTTAATCCAAGTTGCATTGGGCTAGTTTTTAAAAACCCTACAACTACAATTAGTGTGGCATCTTGGATGGGATCCTGGAATGGGGGGTTGGGGGGTAGGGGACTCTAGGTAAAAACTAAGGCAATCTGAATAGACTAAACTGTAGTTAATGGGTCAACATTGGTTCAACGATTATAACTGGTATATCTTATGTAAAGTGGTGTAAATGAAATAAGGGCTTGGCTTTTGAGAGCTTAACCTTTTTTTATGATTATCTGGAAACTAGATTACACATTTTGACCATTACTTTTCTTTTTTCTTTTAAGCATGCGCAGTGGGTTCTTGCTGTTGTTGGCTTGTATTTTACTCTTACAAAGGCAGTCTTAACTGTGATTGTTATGTAGGATCTAGCATAGTGCCACATGCCAAATTATATGTTCTAGTGTTTCTGGATGGCACCTGAAAGACTAGGGTTGTTCATCAGCCCTAATGAAATATTCCGTTACCACCTAGATCGCCTAATGATCCACGTACCAACGAGAGAAGTTAATACTTCTTGGTATCTCGGTATCGATCTCGAAGTTTTAATATTGACAACAACAGTGTGTACATTGTGTATAGTTTCTAATGCACCTAGAAATCTTTGTAAGAAATTATTTTCAGCCCTGGCTGGTTTGGTTTTGCTCAGTGGTTAGAGTGTCAGCCTGTGGACCAAAGGGTTGCAAGATTAATTCCTGGTGAAGGACACATACCTGGGTTACAGGTTCTATCCCCAGCCCTGGTTGGGGAGGCAACCAGTTGATGTGTCTCTTCCACATCAATGTTTCTCTCTTTTCTCTCTCCCTCCCTTTCACTCTATGGAAAAATCAATAGGAAAATACCCTTGGGTGAGGATTTAAAAAAAAAATTTTTCCCCCAGATAACTTAGTTATGTGTCCTTCATTTTTCATTAACTTTTGTAATTTGGAAATAAATCTTGAACACTTAATTTTCTCCTTCATCTACTTACTGCATCTAATCCCAGCCCTAATAATTTCTAATCTTTATATTTTTTCTTGTGGTCACCCTTTAGCCTCCGTTCGGTCCTACATATCTATGCTTATACACACATCATCTGGTTAAGAGTTCAGTGTTCTCCCTATCTACTATGTGGAGTCCAAGTTCCTAATGTTCCACTCTGCAGAGACTGCTCTTATGGCTGTCTCCTGAATTTTCTTCAGTCCTTTGTTTGGAATGGGATTTCTTCTTCCTAGATGCCTGGTCTCTTCAGTTGAATTATCAGCAACCTGAGGGCAGAAACTGAGTAGTAGGTTTGTGCCCACTATCCTGTATACGTCTTGGACATTCATATATTTAGTTGATCTGAGTGAAGAAAAGTGATTTGTCTGGAAAGGATTTTGATCATACTTAGTGTTGAAAGTTGGATTTCCTAATACTGAGGATATAATTTATTACCATAAAACTCATATATTGTTTTAAAAATCAATGTACTGTCCCCAAGGGACCATAAGAAGCAGTAATGAGCAGGGAGGATCATTGCTAAGTGGTGGGATGGTATAGCCTGGGAGTTTGCAGCACAGACCTTCAGGTGTCTATTCTGAGTGGGGAGGGGGGGCCTGCCACCTGTATTATCTGTTACCTGTTTCCTATCCCCTGCTGCTAGTCCACCTGCTTCTGCATGAATAGTATAGCCTTGAGCAGGTTTACTCTTCCTATAACACTTCAGAATTATAATTAAATTTTTAAAACTTTATTGTTGAATGTATTACAGATGTCCCCCCTTTTTTTCTCTATTGACATCCTTCTTTCCAATCCCACCCCCCTCCAGCCTTCCCCACACTATTGTCTGTGTCCATTGGTTGCTGGAGTCCCAGATATGGTGGCCTTCTGCTGCCCTGGGGAAGGGCTCACCAAAGGAACAACCGCCTCTGCCAGCATGCTTGTCTGTCTGGGAGAAACTGTTGTGGCGTGACAGAGTCAAAGAAAGACCACTGGAGAATTAAAGTCCAAATAAGCTGGCCGGCGTCTGATTCCAAACACCCCTGTGACAGAGTCTTCGGAATCAGCCCCCATGTGCTTTTATTACATGTGACTTTTATACCTTACAGAAAATAGGATCTTCTTGATACAATGTCCAGGGCCACAGCAATGCTGTATAGAATTAGTTTGCCTTACAGATAACAGGAACACCCAGGTATTTCAAGGTACATTGGGTCACACTTAGCCCCCAGCTGCACAGACACAGTGCAAGCCCGATTCCTTGAGATTGTGGGGAAGGTCAAGTTTCTGACTCAAGACCTCCAGTCTGTGGACTGTCAGACACGTAGCCGGCTCCCAACAATTTCTTGGTTCAGGGAGTATTCGAATTTACTGAGGTTATTTTGACTAAACAGGTTCAGCTAGAGGGCATACAATGACTTTCCCAATCATCAATTATGGAGCAGCACAGTAATTTACCAATCATCAGTTATGGGGTTATAAACATGCCAGCACAAAAGCCTGCCTCTCCAGCCCTCACCCCAATGCCAAATAACTCAGTTCTTCACTGTATGTCTCTGGTGCCTTTCAAACTGCCTCCCCAATGCTGGATCATGGAGGGTTTGAGTCCAAGTAAGTCCATCTGCGGGCCCTTAAAGAGGAGCTGCCTGGGGCTTCAGCAGCCTCAGCCTCCTCAGCCTCAGTTCCTGATGGTGTTTGCAGCTAGAATTTATGGGGACTTCTCTTCCTGGCACTGGAACCCCAAGCTGGGAACCCCTTACTCCTCAGGGAGGACCTTCGCAGCCGAAGTATCCTCCTGATTTTTATCTGCCACATGCGAGTGTGGGACCAGCCCATCCACGCCTCCACCCTTCTACCAATCTTGATGAGGCTGCTTCTGTAATTCCATAGTTGTAGAACTTCTAATCAGCTCAATTTCAGGAGGTTCTGAATGATGGTTGTTCTGTAGTTTAGTTGTAATTTTTCTTTTTTTTATCCTCACCC